GATGGGGAGGCACAGACTTTGTCAGCTCCTTCCTTTTTAGGGCCCTGTTGACACATCTCAGCACCTCTTCTCACAGGGCTCTTGGGTTTTCCTATGGTCAGCATCCTGAATCTGAGGTCTCTGGCTTCTGGAATTGTAGGGTCTAATCCCCTGAAATGATGTTTGTGACAATGTAGATAAAGCTTTCATCAGATTCTCAGAAGCATGAAGGGCCTAGGAGAGGTTACAAATGGCTGGAAATCATTCCTCTGGCACCCAACTCCGGCTTCCCTTCTCAAAATGCTGTGTTAAAAAATGTTTTGCCCAGCCAGGTGTGGTTCAGTGGTTGAGTGTCAGCCTAGGATCCAGGAGATTGTGGTTCAATTCCCAGTCAGGGCACATGCTGGGGTTGCGGGCTCGATCCCCAGTCTGGGGAGTGCAGGAGGCAGCTGATCAATGCCTCTCTCATCATTGATGTTTCTATCTCTCTCCCTCTCTCTGAAATCAATAAAGATATATATATTTTTTAAATGTTTTAATCTTCACCTTCCACCACTAACTAGTCCTGGCACTGCTTCCACAAAGCTGATCTTAGTTGGGTGGGAGTAGAAAAGCAAGCTTTGGGCTAATTTATACTAAGCTGTGAATGAATGATGGCCTCCTAGACTCCCTGAGGCATCTGCTTTTGACAGAGATTGAATAATTTTAAACAGATGAGTGAAATTTTAGATAGCATGACAAAGTTAAAGGAAAAAGGAGCAGACGAGATATTCTGCAACAGAATGGCAGGAATTCTGCCATTTTCTTGCTTTTCAAGGTTTTCGTACTTGTTCCCTTCACAGATTCTCTAGAAGTGTCAGGATTTCTCTCAGCATTTTCTATAGCAGGGCAGACGATGGGCAGCCCAGAGTGAGACTGGAGGCATCGGCAGCAAGAGCTGTGCTGGTATCCGGACCGAGTGCTTTCACACCATCTTATTCTACCTTCACAACAAGGCTATGAGCTGGAGGTTGTGATCCCCGTTTTACAGCACAGGAGTCTGAGGCCCAGGTCCCCTGGCCAGGCAGAGGGGGCGGTGACACCGACACCCAGATCCTGCCTCCAAGTACCAGGTCCTGTCCGTCGGCCGCACTCTTCCTGAGACCTCGCTGTGTCTGTCAGCTGGACAGATGGATGCTGTAAGTGGGTCTCTGATGGAGATAAATGTATAATTCCCTTAGGACTTAATGCAATGTGAGGCCTGGTGAAGGTGGCACAGCACTCGAAGCACATGCCCTGAGTGACTGAATGCAGCTGGCTGGATTTCACCTCCTCACGCCTCCATGGCCAGGAGCCCACACGCAGGACACCTGCTGTACCTCATGCAGCAGCCCCCTTTTCCCTAGAGGGGGGAGCCCAGCATGTGGGGCTCTGCTGCTGTGGCTGAGGGTAGCTGGGGATGTGTCAGAGCCCCTAGGACACGGATGGGCTCAGAATCCTGTAGATCCACTCTCACTGCAGCCTAACAGCAAAAGTCTCAGGGCTTAGTCTCCATCCCAGGAGTGTTCTATCACCCAAACACATTTCTTAGCTGCTAATGCCATGGAACAGTGGCCGTGACAAGAAGCCTCGGACACAGGACAAAAAGGATCAAAGGATACTGACTTCTGCCCAAGAGACAACAGGAAAACCGGCATTTACTGTAAAAGTTCTAAGGCCCAATCTCTGTATGCCAGGTTTGCAGATAGTACGGTGCTCCCCATGTCTTCTGTCAACCATTAGAACTGCTGTCCACATTGTCCCAAATGCTCGAGATCAATAGGCTACTTTGCAGGATGTTCATTAGCTAATTTATCCGCTTATCATGAAGTCAGCAGCGTTTGTATCAAATTGGTTTATGGCCATTATATGTGCTAGTGTAATTGTGTAATGTAATCAACTATTCTGCAAACCAGTGAGACATGAGTGCAAAAAGAAAGAGTTATTGTTACTAAAGAAACCACATACACAACAAAAAAAACCTAAGTGGAATGTTCTGGAAAGACTCGACTCAAATTTGCTTAAAAATACCATACAGTAAGGTGCAGGGAGCCAGATGTTAAGAGACTGGAATACACAAGAAAACTCTAGGAAGATCCGGCAGCCAGACTACTTCCCAAATGTCAAAATTCTTATTCCATTTTAAATAGAGATGGAATTTATAGATGTTATATTATAGGAGAGGTTCGTGCAAGTAAAATGACAAACTTTAATCAGAAAAAGATCTTGGCCCCATATCAAAAGATTAGCAAATAACTATATGCATCTCTTTTAAACTAAAGTAAAATGTGTCTTCTTAATGGTTGTTCCTTTCTTGAGCCAGCTTTCCCAATTAACCAACCAACATATTTGCTGTCCCCACTGCGCTGGATATGAGGTCATCTGTATATTGATTTTTGCCCTTTTCGTACCTTTTCCACCCTCTTTCCTAAAACCGAGCAGCTATTATCCGCCCAACACAGTGTCACTGCAGAGTTGTATTTCCCCAGAACTACAGCCTCAGGGTTGCTCTCCAAAGCGACAGGGAAAACAAGAGACCTGGAGTGGCCAGATGTGTTTGGGGAAAGCGTCAGGCCATACCCTGTCTTGCAAGCGCACAGTGCCCCTTAGTAGACTAAGAACAAAGAAATAAGCTTCCTTTGTATAGCGCAGATTTCCCCAAACCTTCCTTGGGAGCAGCGCCCTAACGCCCTGCTGTACAGGACACTTCGGGAATCAGGGCTTTAGGACCCACAGAAGAGGGTAATGTACGCTCCCTGTTCTTGAGCAATTTACAACCGAGTCAGAGACGGAGGACATGCAGGTCTGACACACGCATCCACGCAGGACAAGTGGGCGGCGGTATTGGCCAGGCTAAGGGTCGGACGATGGTGAAACCAGCAGGTGTTATAGATCAGGGTGCAGATCAGCCACCCACCCGATTGATTCGCACCAATTTAGCCTCAAAAACTTGCTCTTGTTCCACTGTTCTAGAAAGTTTAAGGAGAACTAACATTTCTTAAGTGCGACTGGGCATCAGGCACGGCACGCTGACATCTGTTATCTCACTTAATTTTCATAATCATAGAAAGGGGTATTGTCTTCCTTTTTCAAAGAAATAGACTCTGCGTGAAGGCAGGTTCAGTGGGAAGGCCTCAGTTCATACCCATTTGCTTGGCTTCGTAGCCTGTCGTTTCCACTGTGCCCGGCTTCCAAGAGCCGTTACAGCCTCTTTCCTGAGGTGGGGTTGGGGTGGGTGCCCACCTGCGTCTTGGTAGCCAGGCTGATCACGGGCCAGCCTTGGCCTGCACAGGACAGCTGTGTTCTCCCGTGTCGCCAGCCTGGATTTCTCCCCTCCTCCAACAGTCCTGACTTCAAAGGCCCAGGGGTCACTCCCTTGTCCTCTCCCGATGCTGCTGCGAGGAAGGCATTAACGGGGGAGGACTTTGCCAGGGTTAAGTGCTTTATTAATAGCACTGCGCGGTGTGCACTCTGAGCTGGAGAGGGGCCAGGGGTGGGAGGGTGCGGGCACAAAATTTTACTCAGGCTTTTCAACAAGCCTTCCCACTGTCCCAGGTCCCTTGCGTGGAGCCCACCTGGGTCCCTCTTTGCCTTTTGCTTTGTGCTCAGAGCACCCTCTCTCCTTTCCGCCTTGACCTTCCTCTGCCATCCCAAGTCTGTCTGGAAGTGGCTGCGAAGGGGAAAGAAAAGACCCCGAGCTAAAGAGGAGGTCAGCAGGAAGGGGCGAGTGAAAGGGTTCCTAGGCTTCATCACTCGGCTCTCGGCGTCACTCCAACTTTTCTGCACCTTAACCCGCAGCTTTCCAGCCCCATCTCTCCAAATAGGTTACTGTGTGTTCCCTGGGGTTGTTTTCAAATATATTCCTTCAGCAAATGTCTGGTGGCCCCAAGTCCCTAGAGTGGGGTGGGGAGATGCAGAGCTCTGGCCCCACAGTGAGCACCCCAGAGCAGTTCTTCCTGCCCACAGGGTACATAGCAGTTCCCAGGCAGGGTCCCTAAGACTCCAAATCTGAGAGCCACTGCCCAGGCTTAGGCTCATGACTCTCAGAGGCCCTCCCATTTCAAATGAAGGACTGTGCATTGACTGATGGATTAAGTCCCATAATCCATTTGATCAAGAAAGAGTTTCCTTAATCCTGGCTCTTCCCACACTTCACGGACCTAGTTATGTCTATAGTTACAGTCCTGAGCTGAGTGTTTGTCTTGTGTCTGTATATCTATGTCCTGCCAGGTCAGGCCAAGCTTCCAGGCTGCTCACAGAATCTACCTCTGCACCCTGGACACACACACACACACACACACGGCCCGGTCAGTCACTCGCCTGTATTTATTGTGACAGCTCTTGGATGGCGCTAGGGGACTGAAGTCATTGGAGTAGTTCCTGACAGTAGTTCAACTGAAGGCTGCTATTGCAATGAACCCTGCAAACATAGCTCCATCTTGTTGGTGTGCGTAGTGGGCACTTTGCAAACACCACATTTAAACCTAAGGCTTTGTCTCCGTTTCACGAAAGCAGCCACCAGGCTCATGAAAGCATTTTCTCTGCCTCACAGCTGAGCTAGATACACGAGGTAGCCGGGATTTCAGCCTGGCTGCCCCTCCAGAGTGCCCCTCTGCTTCCCCAGCGGCGGGGACTCTGGGAACCAGAAGAGCAGGGCAGGGCGAGCATGCTGCCCGGGGAGGAGGGCTCTGGGCCAGGAAGCCCAGCCCCAAGAATCTCACTCTGTTCGCGGGATGGTTCTGTCCACTTGCCCAACACTTAACTCTCCACAGTATGTCTGTCCCACCCCCTCGGATGTCGCCCTTTGTTTGAGGCAGCAGCAGCAAGCGCTAGAGATAGTCTCCCAGCTTGAGGTCCCACATGAGCCTGCCTCTGATCTGGCCCTGGAAGGTGACGCCTGATCAGATAGGGTCTCTCCGGGGCCACACCTTCTGTAGCCCTGGGGGTGACGCTGCACCTGCACCTGCACCTGCACCTGCACGCCCGGGTGCACACACACTCACCATGAGATGCTGGAAGAGCCAAGACCGCATGATATTGGTGGCATGCTTGGGCAAGACTCCTCGCTTGTTCTTGGACTTCTTATCCTCATTGTCCAGGAGGGAAGTGAGGTCAAGGTTAACCTTCGGGGCACGTGGAGAAAAAGTCAGCGTCAGCGTGGCTCCAAGTGGAGACCAGACAGCGAGGGACCTGTTGCCATAGCGATGGCCGGCTCGTGCTGCCAACCTGCTTCCCAACTCATTCTAGGGCCCTGGGAGGCCACCTTGCCCCTCACTTCACTGGCTGCTCGGAGAATGGAGGAGGGGAGAGGAG